CCTGGAAACCATGGAGACCTCTGTGATGTGAGCGTAAACAATGCTCAAAAGATCAAAAATAAAGTTATATAACAAACTAGCTCCAAAAAAACCAAAAAAAAACCCCAAACCAACAACCTCAATTATATTGTTTATAGACATCATAACTACTCCTGTTTCTTCTCCACCACTGCTTCTCAGGTTGCTCACCCTTGCCTACACAGTTCTGAGTGTCATTTGATTTCATTAAGAGTATGCAAGATGAGGAATAAAAATCACTAAAGAACTTTAAAAAACAGAAAGTATGTTCAAATAGAGTATCAGACTTCTTAAGTCCTACTGAGGACTTAACAGCTCCCACATTCATAAAAGTACGACCTGCCGTATTATTTTACACTAGAAGCAAGATCAAGCCAAAATCCCACTTTGAAAGTTTGATTTTATTTCCTTCCTTTAGCTTTTTGGTTGGTTTTTGTTTCTATTTTAGGTGGCAATACAATAAGCCCATTCAGAAGGGTTTTGTCATTTGTTAACACAAATATCTTTTATCTACTCTGAATAGAGAAATAACCTACAATGTTACTCCTTATCTATCATAATATAAAACCATTTTATTAAGGTCAGCTTGGAACACAGTAAGCTACTCTATCCCTGTGAGGGCTAAAGAATGAATTTGCACCAAAAGGCAGAGGTATTATTTTTATACAATAACATGTCAACAGGATCAGCCTAAAACACTCAGGAAGTCGCCTCTTCGGGGTTGTCATTTTGCACTATAACTGCATTTTCCTTCAGTCAGTCTTTACAGACTCACACTATGCTCAAGTTAACTGATTTACGTGCATCACTTACTGAATTCTCACTCTCCCAAAGGGGTGTATGGGTCAGGGAAGTTTCCTTTCCTCTTGTAAAACCCTCCAGAGGGGTTGAGAGACTGATGATGGAACTGAAATGCAGCTCAGTGCAGTCACGCACACCTCACACCTAGGTGAGGAATATTTACTTTTCCCAGTTACTGTATTACAATATGATGTATGATGCAATGCAACACTAGGGTTAGAGCAATTCAGTGGAAATGCTGGAAAAGTGAGGCTGAAATACAGCTTTATTTGAAATAACATTACTGTCTCAACATCTTCGTAACAGAAACGAGATGGAAAATTACTCACTTCCTAACAGAGCTTTTATTTACCCTTTTTTCCAGGAGAGTTCAGAATGCCAGACTGATCTGGATCAATTCAATTCCTTTCAATAAAATAAAATTGTATTAATCAACAATGCCTTACTATTTTATTGTGAATAATAATGTGGCAGCATGAGTTGTTTTTTTTACAAGTAATATGCCTGAGATCACTACAGGTTCCAAGTGGTATGATTTATCTTTAAAATTGACAACCCTATAAAACAGTGTATGTAAGTATGTAATCTGCCCTGCCCTTCTCCTTCTTAATTAAAATATACAGGAGGATCTTTCTCAAAAACTGGGAGGTATTTCTGTTGTCCATCCTTCTTTCTGTCAAATAATTGCCCTTTTTCCACTGATAAAGAGTACTCTTTGTGGTCAACTGCTTTATAAATGGAAAACTGAKATGGGATTATGATTGAGAAGAGAGTGGAGCTGTTAGCTCACCACTATTATTTCTGTAATTATTTTTTTAATTGTCTTTACAACCCAGGGAAGATATTGAAAAAAAAAAATAATCAGGGAATCTTGGAGTGCCTGGAGCAAGATGTAGGAAATACACTGTGCTCTCATCCATCCCATCTTAGTCCTACTTCTGGTGACAATAGTTGCTTTTTCCCAGCAGAAGCTTACATCTGCATTACTCTCATCTTGGTTAACATGTTTGAAATGACACATCAACCAAGATGACTCTGAAAATGCTGAGGTTCTGCCAATGCCTCAGTGATTCTATACACTGGTAAGATATGAAATGCAACTGAAACATGCACTGAGGAACCCATCAACAGTAGACTACAATTTKCCTTAGCCACTCAGTTTAAAATACTCCTAAAACCTTTAGAAATGTCTCATTTTTGAGACAGGGAGCYTCTGTTGGTTAAATACAGCTGCATTAGTGGGCTGCCATGGCACCTCCACATTCACTAGCACATGCTCTTGCAAAATCAGCTTTACCAACATTTTGCAGCATTGGAAATGACAAATAATGATCTTGGAAATGACAAATAATGATGAGGTGGTTGTCACTGCATGCAGAGGACCCCAACACCCCGACTAAATCACTGTGAGTTTCTTTAGAGGGCAGACGGAGACACAACAGATTCCCAGAGCACAGTACCTGGTCAGCAGCGGGAATCGACTCCCACCTACGCTTCAGCAAGTACAGAGATTTCCGGCTCATGATTCTCAATTTGCTCTAGAGGCAATTCCAGACTTGAGAAAAAGGCTTCTGTCCCAAACCAGTGGCAAGAATCTTATTTCTGACTCCTGTTGTTCATTGTAGATGGCAGAACTTGCCGATGCACACAAGTTTTTGTGAGCTGTGAGGTCGAGACCAGTTCCACCCCAGCTTCTCCTGTTTCCCTAAAGCATCTGTGTCCCTGCAGTGCCACAACAAAAGGCTGAGGCAGCGAACAGCCCGGCTTTCAGTGACAAGCTACCTTGCAGAAAGAAGCCTGGAGTAGGTAGACAACACCAGACGCACTCAATCTGAAAATAGCTGTTGCTTAGGAACTAGAGGGGTAAAACGCAGCACCTCGGATATATAATTGAGAGCTTTTGTAGTTAAAGAGAATTAAAAATGCTGGACCTGTGCTTCTCTCTCCAGCATCGTTCTCTTACAAAGCTGGAGGAACGACTGCTCGATTCCACTGACTCTGGGGCTACGCCTACATCTCCAGCAAGCCAAACAAGTCTTGATGACAGAGCAACAAATTACTCCCACACATGCAAAAGCCCTYGTAAAAACGTGTGCACAAAGCGTGCCGTGGGCCCCACCTGAAAGATCTTGGAAGTACCAAGTACTGTGTTCTAGTAGAAYGATTAAAATACAATTTGCATATTTTTCTGCAGAGAGATAATATTCCAAGGGTGAATTCTGCTAGTCACACTTTCTCGTGGCATGTGCCAACAATATAAATGAGTATGAATATTTTCCCCTCACATGATTTGGTACTACAGACTGCACATATATATATTTGAGAGAGAGRTATTTCTTTAGGTGGAATAAATATTCCTAGAAATTTAGGAATTTCTTTAATTTGGAACTCAGTTTTGAAGTTCCATGCCTAAATTCTTATTTCTAACCTGTACTAATCTTAAAGATTAAGCATGAAACCTAGTGAAATTCACTCTGCACTTCCTGCTTCATTTCAAATCCACAGAGTAAATTCTCAGCATGAAGCACTTAGAACAGGCAGTGCTGTCTTCAGGGATGAAAAAAAGAAAGGAAAAAAAACCCCCAACAAGTATGTAGCCAAGAACTCACTTCTCTTTGTCAGGCAACCTATAATTCAATCTAATTAGAGCAGCCTTAATAGTATAATTATTCTAAAAGAAAAGGAATCCTACAACATACATACACATATGTGTGCAATCTGTTAAAGGGGAGTGCAAMGTTGGTCGTGGTTAGAAGTCATGAGCAAGTTAAATATTGTAAAGACAGCTTTTTCACTTGAGCCATTTACATTCTATTGAATTGCAGATGCTTATCACGAGACAAACTCCTGCAAACAGAAATTCCCATGGGCCTCGCTGTATTTCACTCGACATCCATCCCCACCTGTAACTACAGCACTTTGCATTTAACTCCTACGTGCAGGAAAGGAACGTGCCTTCCACGTTTTCATTAAGCAGTATGACATGCAGTGTAGTAGCTTCCCCTCATGTTTCAGCACATTCCATAGAAAACCTACCAGATCTTAAAAAAAAAACCAAAAAACAAACAAACCTTCACTGAATCTGAGTTTTTTAATGAGTCTTTGTAGAATAATGTTATGAGTTCATGTGTGGATTTTAGTTTTACCCTATGGCAAATGAGTGGTTTCACCTTTTCTTTTTCCTTTTATGTTKTAAGGTGTTTAAGTATAACTAACACATCACTCATCCTAATTTTTCAGCAAGATCTTGTTTTTTACAACAGCTGCATTCTTTAAAAGACAAACTGGCAATAATGCAACTGAATCACAAAAGGATACAACAGGTCTTTTTTCTAGTATTTTTATTACATGCAAAAATCAGGACCTTAATTTCTGCTAACCTTTCAAGGAACTACTTAAATTAGGTTTAATAGCATTCCTATCGAGACAATTTTCAGAGTCATGTAAAAGGGAGAATCTAAAGCTACAGTGAAATAATTAAGGCGTATTTTCTTCTCTCTAATGAAATTTTTCTCTCTAAATGAAATTTATGTATTTTCAACACTTGATGGAAAAGATTATTTTACCCAAGCAGAAAAATTCCTGGATATCAATATTGGCAGCAATGTTTCATTTGCAGCAACTGCAGTTCTGTAGACAATTTTAAAACCTATCACTGTGATACCATTAATGCTCTTGGCATAATTTCCTTCCAATGAGTGGTCAGGAGCAAACCAGTGGCCACATGTGGTTTTCCTGAACCTCCCCACACAGTTCTAACACCTTGGTCAATAATGAAAAGATTCATGGTGAGAGGACCCTCCAAATTTTGCAAGTTTGTCAGGTTTAAAAAAAAAACAAACAACAAAAAACCAAACAAAGCATACACACATTATTTGAAATTGCTGATGGAGACAGCTGAGTAAGAAATGCTTTCTCCATACATTTAATMCATCTTTCTGCTACTGAAAAACATTTTCTCTTGGATGATTCAGCTCTCTCAGGATCATCTGTTTGAATTACAGCTCAAAAATTATATTAATGAAAGCTGTCAGGGTTTTATGCTTTTTTTTTTTTTCATTGCTCCAACCCTGCACATATTCACAAAATTAACAACTCTGACAATCTCAGATGGAAAACTTGCTTGGATGCCTCAAACGTAGCAAAAGCCAAAATCAAAGACAAAATACTGAGCAACTGACCTGTGAGCCTCTGGGTCCTCGTTTGTGATCCCATTCAGAATGCCCCATGAGCTGAAAAACAAAGAAAAKCAGAGGTAAGTGATAAATTGCACCCATTAGTTTTAATTGAAACATTCATGYTTTTATATTTTATTATTACACATTTTCTTAGAAATACACAGATTTAGTTTTATGATTTATTTCACACCAATTTTAGCTTTGTAACGAAGCCACATAACATTGTASCTTCACATTCAGAACCAAAACACATCACAACACTGCTCGTGTCAATAAAAAACCCACTGCCAGAAATTCAGCTTTAGCCAAATGTTTAATACTGATYTGGAAAAAGGACAGCTGACATATCAATGAGGAGATTACCAAAACCAGGGGACATTTGATTAAACAGCAATGGATGTTTCATATCAGCCATAATAATTAGCAAGAGCTTTAAATCTGTTCTACCACCCAGTTATGGGGATTTTTTTTTCACAGCTACTTAGGGATTTCTTCTGGGCATTGTTTGCGCCTACACACACACAAGCATTGCTTAATACAAATATAAAAATATATGAATGAAAGACAGGAGGGTTAATGTGACATGTAATGAGTTACAGTCATGAACATTTTCTTGCTCATTTTTCCCAACATTCTTTCCCAAAGGAAWTGCCTTCTCCCAGTTCAGAGGTAGGCAAGATTTACAACCTACACTTATCACAGAACATGCTTTCAAAACACTCATCCCAGGACAAGAGTTTAAAACTACTTTGAAAAATGAGGAAAGCCACATGTATCTCCTATGGTGAGATTTTTATCTTCTCCTTCAACCGTTCTACTTATCCTCTCCTTTTCTAAGGGCCCCCTCTTTTAAAGTTATTACTTACAAAAATCTACCTCCACAACTTGAGAAAAACCAGACATGCAGATAGGTATCAAAAATCAGAAATGTCACATTTTTTTACCTGATACAGCCTTGTGGCTGGCCCCCKCATTACTGCAATTATTTGCTATTTTCCATGTACTATTGGTGGAAACACTGTGCTGTGCTGGGTTTCCCCATTTGTTCTCCATTACTGCATGAAGTAGAGCTTTGAAGTTCATGAAACTAAACAACTGGTGTGCAAAAACTATGAAAAGCTCATCTACCAAAGGTTATATGTTTCAAAGAGTCAAAACCCTCATGCCTGTCCTTCCTCTGTGGCTTCTGCTCCTCTGGACCAAAAAAACTTATTCAGTTTTACTCCTCAGCCCCTGTGCCTTGGGAGGAAGTAACTCCTGCTTTCTTAATTTGCTTGGCTAAAGGAAAATTAATTTAGCTTGAGTCTGACCACCTGCCATTCCCAGCGTGATAAGGGATATCTTTACCTACAGGTTCCTATCAGTGGAATGAGCACAAAAAGTGAGCCTCACAATTAAGAAAAAAGGATTAATGTTACAGGCCTGGCCATGGCCACGGTGRTTCTCCAGGCTTTACAGACACCTGGCAGAGCACACACTGCTTTCAAACCCAACTGCAGCATGAGATCCCACTGCCAGGTTTTTCATGCTCCGACCCTCACAGAATGCTCCATTGCTCACAGAACAGGGAAAAGATGCTTTATTACTACCACCAAAAAGAAGGGGTGCAGTCACAAGTCAGGCTTGGAGTTACTGTTCCCATGTGTAGGGATGCTCCCAGTCCAGCCAGGCCCAGGAAACCAGACCAATGTGTGCCAGGGTGATCACCACTAATCCTCACATCTAAATCAATTCCTCTAAACATTCATTCACCTCCAGGCACAGTTTGTTCCTCCTGATCCCTGCTCTTGCCTGGCTCTTCCCATCCTCACAGTGAGTTTTCCGCCCCMCAGCCAACTCTCTACTGGAGGGATGCTCTGCTCCGCCACTCCTCCTCCTCCTCCCCTTGCAGGTGCCTTTTGCTTCCTCATCTCCAATCCTGCCTCTCCACCACGTGCAGGCAGTCCTGGGGTGCTCCACAGACTGGATGYTTTAGCAGCAGCTAATGCTATAGAGAAAAGTGAGTCCAAAGGCTGTAACAACTCATCCGTGCTCCATTTCCCAGTATCCAGCTACCAACATCACCTACAGAGGAGAAGCCAAAGTCACCAGGGAAGCAGTCACAAATTCATTGGAACCAACCCCTTTCTTGTTCTGTCACCATTTTATGAGGAAATTCCTCATAGCAAATTATACAGCCCTTGCCCAATTTAATTTCTCTGCAAAGGTGCCTTGGTGGAATCAGCCATGTTTGTATTTTGCTGATAAATCCACTATTCCCAGTATAAAACAACTTCCACACCACTGTTCTCTCTCACTGTGCCAGCATGTTCTGCTGAGTGACATGAACTGTGGCTGTCACCAGGTGAAACCGAGAGGCTGTTTTCAAGCATTATAGTCAAATACATGACCCATGAAGCCAACCTTTTCCTCCCATTTTTATGAAATCTTACTTGGCTTTCAAATATATTTCTCCCTCATAATCTAAAAAAACTGCGCTCATCTCATGCTAGAATATTCTTGGCATATAGTAGTCCCTAGTAACAAAGGAGTGAAGGAATGAAAAATGAAAAGGATASCACACAAAAAGCCCTCAAGCTTTAWGAGAGAAAGAAAAATGACCCACAGGTTGTAACAAAATCTCTTCCAGGCCAGCATCCTACAAAGGGATCATTGCCCCAGTGTGACACCCTTTAGCTCAACAAGCACCACTCTGCTCAATTAATTCTGAACCTGATTTTCTTTTCATGGAGACAAACAGTAAATGCTGCAGCATGATAACCAGAAATGGAGGAAAGCAAGTATGTCTGAACTATTGGCCTAGGTGGAAGTCACCTGGTGGATTTCCACAAGCTGGATAGAAATCAAAAGACGAAAACAGAATTAAAAGCAAAAACAAAACCCAAAACCAAACAATAGCCCACAAACAACAAAAAACCCAAACCAAACAACAAACCAACTACACTCCGGAAAAACAGAGCGTGTGCATAAATACTTGAGTGAGTCAACCTGCTGAAGTCATGGAAAAAGAAAATAATATACTGTTTAATTGGTGCATGCATGCAAACAGAGATACGGACATAAAAACGCATTTAGAAGCTGGGGGATTTATGTTTATCACTAACAGATGGGTTTGCTCCAGACCCCACCACCTCCTCTGAAAGTTCTCTGGAATCAATTTGGTCCAGAGCGATGATWAACAGCCTCAGAGCATCAAATTTATTATTTTTACTGACCAGACAACTAMGGCTAAGTGTACCAGCAGCAGAAAAGGAGGGATGAAACTGAAATCAAACTCCCACACAGCTCATATACATGCAGTCTCTCTCAGAAGAAAAGGAGCTACTTTATATTTCATCTGAAACTGTCCTGGAAACCCATCTCTGACAGTTTTAATACTTACAGATGAAAGCAGCTTTTAGCAACAAGAACAAATCTTGCATGTTCAGGAATGCACAAAAACACGGGCTTTACTAAAACCAACTGGCTGATTCTACCCTAATAACTGCCTTACAGGTCTCTAGGGAAAACCCTCCCCCATTCCAGCTGAGGGTGAGGACTGTCAGTGGAAGAGGAGGCAGCAATAGAACAGACCCCAATACCAAAACCCYAATCACAGATAGAAAGGGGGTCATCATCATTTAAAGATATAGGGTGGTGGCCTATGCTCTAAATTTCAGGATTTTGCTACAAACACCATGAAGATTCTAGGCTTGTGGTTTTAAAACTCATGTTCACTAATGCAACAACACCTTCAAAGGTGTAAGGAATGTTATAAAGGACTGTCTACACTAGATATCTGAGATAGCCATGTTAAAGTAGAACAAAGCCATTTAAAAATTAGCATCTTCAGCCCTCGCCTCTCTAAATGCAGTTCTTCTCCTATTTGGTTATTTAATTAAAGCCTCAGCAAATGATTACATAAGGATCTCAACTTTCATTAAAATTCATAAACCATAATTCTAAGCCTCCTTAATATTAGAGAACTGCAGGAAAATGTGACCCACACATATTGTAGAAGATCTAAAGAAATTTTTTTTTTTAAAAAGACAGAAAGTAAAAAATGACAATTTTAACCTTTTCAGCTGTTTCTAAGTCCTGCTTTTCCCCTAAATAATCTTTTCTGGCCCAGGCTCTTGGTTTTGGCACCCTTGAAAAAGCAATACTGCTAGCTATGCAATGGCTTGAAAGAAAAAAAAAACAAGATTAAAAAAACCTTCAACAAAACCGATCAAAAAACCCAACCCCAAAAATCACTCAGGAAAATAGAAAAGGCATAATCATATTATAGGGACCTCCCCAGCTGGACACAAGTCAGGAACAAAACCCAATATTCAAAATCCAAGCAGTATATTCTTTGGAAGGGGAGGGAGTCCTCAGAATTTTGAAACCACATGGACTGTTTTGTTAAAGCAAATATGACACTCAGTCTCATTAGAGGGAATGAGCAGATCTTTTCCTTGTAAGTACTTAAAAGGACCAATGAAATAGTTATATTTGGTGTTTAATAAAAGCCTTTAAATCAATTCAAAATCTATTCTAATGCTATTCAGATTATAGTCTATTATTCTGGATTTTTTTTCGACACATATTTACACATACACAACACTTTTACTGTCATAAAAACAATTAGATGGTGATGACAAAAGTGAGCTAAATCAGCTAGCAGTCCCTAAAGACAATAAATGGGATCAAAAAGACTTCAGCAGGATCACATAGTCCACATGCAKGTGAGGACCTTGCCCCAGCTCGCTGGCTCTTTCCCTTGGATGTTACAGATTGAGACTGTGGCCAGATACCCCATTTCCATTATAGTGAACAGAAAAGAGTTCTGCTCTCTCTAGTGAAAGGTGAACATAAAGCAAAACACAGGAATGTGAGAGAAACGGCTCCTCTGCCCCATCTGTGACTGGGAGCCAAACACTTGCATCCAACATTCCCTGCTGGACTGGCTGTGATTCATTAATAGGGTAGCCTGARCTCTCACAAACAGCTGAGAATCTGCAAAAACGCCTCCTTTTTGCCACTTGGATTTAGAGCATTTAGCAGTGGCAAACATTAATTACCAATGAGAT